TTGCAAAAACATCAATTTTAGTTTATTTTAATTAAATATAGGGGTAAGCGGTTAAATAAAACATAAGCATTAAAGTAAGAAGTCGTCCTGGAAGACTGGATTTGGTAAATATTGCTTAAATAATTTTTATTTCAAAAATATTCACTTGATCCCTAGACACTTTTGATGTGTGTATTATAATACACAAATTAATCAAAAACCACAACATTACTTACCGAATCAATGTGAATAATTTAACTTTCAATTTATGTTCACATAATTAGTCAAGCGAAATGCGAGCAACGCACCAATGTAAATTAATTTTCTAAAGTGGGTGATAGACGTACGAGTAAATACGCGTACTTGTGGCTCGATGACCTTTTTCACTCATGTGTCACTCTACGTACGCGAACTTTAAAACTGCCGCGCAAGTGCATCAGCGATCAAACATGTTTGAAATCTTGCTCGTAGCCTGCTTCGGCTCGCATGTCCGTCAGCGTCGCGAGACACGAGCCGCCATTTTGTTTCAAATGAAATAGCTTCTCTCATGCAGGCATCTTGTTTAGCTATTATAGGTGTAACTAACTGCAAGAGTTCGTCGTACAACGACTCGGGCAATCTTAAATAATTATGAAAGTCTTCCTTTTCTTCACGCAATTCTCTTACTAAATTTACACGTGATAAACGCTCTCTTTTCGTAAGCCAATTCTTCACCCACACTCGCCAATTTTGTCTTCTTTTTTTAAGTTCTCAAAATGTGATATGATTTTATTCCCAAATAACACAAGACCTCCTCCGTGGACGATATCGCGTAACATTATAAGCTAATCTGTCGTGTGTCACCGACGTCAAGCTGAGTAATCACACCAAGTTTAAAACCGCGATTTTTAACCTAGCACGTCTATCACCCACTTTAGAGGACCGCGTTTATCCCCCTTGTTTACATTTTTGGCATCTAATTATGATACACATTATAGTTTATTGTTATATTTGATAGAGATCGAACAAATTCAAAGAATAATTCCTTCGATCCGGCGGACTCGAACCATCGGGTTATGGTAAAATGTAGAGTTCTACCATCTGTGGATAATCTGTTTAATTTAATATATCAGCATCGGCATTCGCATCGATACTGATATTAACGTAGTCGTGCGCTGCGTTTTTTTCGTCTAGTAAATTGTCCTTTGTAGGACAGTACGTACAACAGTGTACACAGTAATTAATGGTATCTTATCGCCTTTTTAAGAAATTAAACCCAGCAATAGAGTAATCATTTTGCTATAATTTTTATTATAAACGAAAATATCGGATACAAAATGGCCTTAAAATATTATTTACAAATCTTATTACAATATAATTTCATGTTGATCGTGTACACATATCCTTATTTTACCCTTTTAAATGAAATTTATTTTTCTATATTTACCTAATATATCTAAATTTAATTAAAATTATTTTTTATAAAAAAAACATTAGAAAAGTCTTGATCTATTAAAGCCTTTCATGAGCGGATAGTTTTTTAGAATTAAATAAATTCTAAAATTTAAAATTAAATTCTAAAATTTTTAAATCAATTTAATTTAATTGGAAAACATAATTATTTCAAATTATGATGTGAAATTTGCTCTCAATATAATTTTGTTCTTAAAATTATTAAATAAGATTTTAATTTGCTAACAAAACATATTTTTCTCAGCTGCATGTCGGTACAAAAATATTTGATAAAAATGAATGAATCATTATTACCAAATTTTTGTTATTTTTTTTTATATTTGCAATTATTTAAAATATCACATAGGTATTGAATTTTAAAATTAAATATTATGTACAGATATTTTTTAACTGGGGATTACTAAAATTCACCATAACAACCCATACACGTTCCAGTGCTCGACACGAGTCACCTTCATGGAGAGCATTACAAATCTAATTACACAAAATAATAACATGGTTATTTGCATAAATAAATATTTTGAATTGCTTAAAAAAATAAATGACGACTCTCCCAGTTAAAATCCCTAACCTCAATGGTTTTATTTAACTACTTTTCTTTAAAAACATATCAATAAGTGTACATAAATACTTTGTACAGTTTATATAACGACTAGTCTATAGAAACCTAAAGTTATAACAAAAGTTCCAAACAGTAATTGTTAACAAACAGTTACTGTACTGGCAAGACACTAACAGAAACGAGTAAACTTTATTTTCATAGTCAGAAGTTAAACTTAAAATAAAAGCACCCTGCCCTTTCCCGTCTTTTTAACCGAAAACAAAAAACCAGACCCATCCTTCACCAAAAAAGATCTAGGAATTAAGTCGCTTAATTGCTTACAGTCCTACTGAATATAAATATGAGATATTACTATACCTAATTAAACCTGTTTGTTTTCAACCGAACTAAGTGCGCGAGTGCCGCTAACAACACTTAACAAGATGGCCGAAAAGTCTAAGTTGTCATATCGCACTACTACTGCAATAGTGTTGTAACTGAAAATATGTGCAATTTAATATTATATCATTAATGAACGTAAAATTTCATTCTCTACACGTCAACAAAACCGTCGTTAGAATATTGTAAGAAATAATCAAAAGATATCCACTTATGTGAGCTAGCTCTGGCCAAAATAATCCTTATTCTATAATTTATATAAAATTTTTTTTTCCATTTTATTTTTATATATATTTGCGGGAAGTGCGTAATTTCGTTTCTCATCGATTCTGAGGAAGTCCACTTTTTGAGGTAATACACTATTGTTTTAATAGTGCGATATTAAAAAAATACATTTGGTTGCGTTCATTATTTAGCGAGTTATAATTAGATCAATAAATTTCTCAATCCGTTCAACCGTCACTAAACAGAAAAGAAAGTTTTTCGGGAAACCATTTTAATAACTCTGAAAATAAGTTTATATTTCAAAAAGCAAGACTTTTTCGGTTAGTGGCAGCAATGGTTTCACATGGGACATACTAGAAAACTTTAATAAATTTCATCTGTTCTTATCTAACACGAGAAATACATATTCAAAACAATATTCTCACAAAACGAAAACCTCCCTTTTTCAAATATGTTTTCATAAACTCTCTTTTAATTTATTTTAAGAAAGTTTGCAGCTGTTAATAAAAATATATAATATAGGTATGAACTAAATAACATCAAAGAGCTTTTAACCAATCTCCACATCAAATTGACAAACCATTTTTATGGTTTAATAATATCATAAATATAATACATATTCTCTGTTACATATACTATTTCAAGTTAACACATTTTATAAATACACATTACATTTGTTCTGTAAAATATAAGAGGAGTTTTAAAGTTGAGAATTTTGCTTAGTGACAGTATTAATTTCAACGTGCGAAAAGTTCAAACCTATTTTAGAGCTATTACATGAGTTATGTGAGTTATGAATTGTCATATTCAGTGGAATCACAAGCAATAAGACGCAAAGAAAAAAATAGACCTTAAAAATGTCTAATATAAATTTATCGACTAGCATTTATTTATAGTCCAAGTATTTTTTTGGGAAGACATTGTCATAATTAGAAATAGTGAACTAAAACTACAATGGCATAACCAGCACAAAGTATGGTTACTTCTACTGAAACAAGCCAGGTGGCGCGAGTGTCACTGTAGCGTATGAACAAAATTGCAATGGAGTAGTTACAAGTACTTAAAACTTTTATCATGGAAAATACATGCACGTCTCTGCCGCCAAGCAGTAATGTGACCGTTACTGTGTTCCGGTTAAGGGTGCTGGTGAAATTACAATTTAATTAAATCTTAAAATAACGCAGTGTTTTTTTTAAGTCCTGAAACTTTTTAATTATGGTGCAATTAGAAAATAACAAAAAATCTTCGCTTTAATTTTTTCATTACTTTGATTTAATTTCAACTCTCAATTCAACTTCTTTACCTTTAGTTGAAAAGGTTTCTTTATTTTTACTTTTTATGACACCAAGTGACGAACGGCACAAGTCGTACGCCTGGTGGTAAGCGACACGCCTGTCCATAGCAGTTGTAGTACCACACATTTACCCTTTAAAACTGGAGAGCAGTAATGCTCACCGCTTGGGGGCAGAAATAAATTAACATGTATCTATGGCTTTCTAAAATGATGGCCAATCTCAAAATCACCTAATTCATCAGAAAGATGGTTTAAAACCAACTGTAGAATATCTAAAATGTAAATTAGACTAATCGTATAGAGGCGCACCTTGAGTTTGGCGCACTTTAGCTCATTTTGAGTGCAGCTATGTAATAATACAAAAATGAATTATTTTGATTTAGGCCACTATTATTGAAAGGCAGCGATATGTTAAATCAAAAGTTTTGTTGTTTTTTAATTCCATTTTTATTAAAAAATATTACGATTATCGATTAAGTCGATGTTAAAGACAAAATTAAATTAAAAACTCATTGTAGTTAAAAGTACAATTATGCCTTTGTAGAACGGATGTTTGATATATTGAGATGTTACAAGCAAGATTACTTAAAACATGGCAAGACGTCATATATTGTTGTGCAACACATTATTCGTCCGCTGTACGGCAAGGTGCAAAGTCGCCCAACACGTTGCGCGACAAGATGTCGCACAACAAATGTTGCCAGATCTGTACGACGCTGAAGCCAGTAAAAATGATCACAAAAATATTAAAACTTTTTTAATAATAAGAAGGTGTAAATTTGTCTTGGTCTCTTCGTCGTTATGCCACCAAAAAAATATTTATGGACGATTCGATAAGCATTCGAGATATGTCCAATCCTTTATGAGAAATACGTACATATCTTCAGCTCTGCAAACGGTAGCCATTTTGAAAACAAAAATTCTAAGTTGTCAGCGAAAAGTACTGTCTGATCACGTTTTTTTTCTATTTAAAGTGAACACAAATGATTTAGTAAAAAAAAATTAAAACAAAAAATGCGATTGAGCAGTTTCTTCCCTTTACCACTTCTTAACCAATCTATTTAAAAAAAAATATTATTGTAAAATAAGAAATATTATGTAAAATTTGGGTATAACATAGTACATCTAAAACATGAGCAAGTTTATTTTAAATTTATACTCCGATAATTATGGAACCCATGTTCGGTCATGACACAACCTTAATATTAAGTAAAAAAGCACTAGCCGTTTCTGAAAAAGCCCCACTGCCTCATACAAAAAGATGATCCTAATGAAGCATCAAAGATTTAAAAATACTTAATAGGTTTATCCAGAATCCAAACTTGTGAAAAAAAGCTTGGATCTAGAGGCCACGCAAGTTAAACATTTGGCAATATTTTCTACTAAGAACTACATAAAGTCTTACAAATTGCTTTTAGACTCCGAAATAGTGACCCCGGTAGTGATTTTTAATATCAATAAACGTGCTTTCAACACTTGGCGACGGTCCAAGTTTTATTGGTCAGTCTTAATTCTATGCCTAACCGTTATATATAATTATAAAGAATTCCACATTGACAAAATATCACACACTAAAAGTTTTTGTTCTCTTTTGTTCGGCACTTTTTCATCACAGTCGTTTTTTAGTTTTTCTAAAAGCACATTACCACCTTTCTTTTGGAGTCGTAGTTCGGTAAACTGTTGCAGTATAATCGCATTTACTCCTCGTACAAATTTAAAACACTACATCTTCTCAATTCGGATTGTATGAATGAATTATCTGAATGTATGAGACTCTCTCTTTCAGCTTCGTGTAGATTGAAATGAGATTTGACAAATTCTCTTTTAATTTTCTTGAATTCGTCTAAACTTTGACTAAGGTCTAGCCTTTTTAAATGATGTATTTCTTTGAATTCTGGATCATCTGTCGAGTTGGTTGGGTTTGTGTCCAATGGATGATACGCAGTCTCTTTATGAGGCAGCAGCTTATGTGAATAATCAATAATCAGCGTTGAACCTCGTCGTATGGTTTCTCTTCCTAATTCAACAATTTCTGTGGATTTTTTTCCAATAACGAAACTTTTGTAAGCTTTTACGAAGACAATGGCTAGGATGAAAATTCCGAGCAAAATCATGCCGTAGGTTAAAATGGGACCGGCAACTGGTGCTACAACGGTGGCCAGGTAAATCCAGCGCCATATCGATGGTGACACTTCTTGAATACCCTGAAAATAATTAACAACATGAATCACTACGTCCGACATCTTTTAGAGGGACGAGCAAGAAGATACCAAGTGATCCAAAAGTATAATATAAATCTTTAGAGTTTGGTAAAAAAATAATTATTAATCCAACAACTTCATTAAAAATTAATTTGATACTAGTAATAAAGTCCAGTAAATAATTGTAATTATCAGACGTAGAGACGGGCAACCACCCGGGTTTTAACCCGGCGCTCTGTTAACGCCGGGTTTAAATCGCGTTAAAACCCATAAACGCACAGAATCGAGGGCAAAAACTATTTACAACTAAATAAATATTTGTTGTAAATCGAGTTTTGTCCAAATTCGATTCTATTAGTCTTTCAATTGAATCGATTCGCTTGAAAATCGCATTGAAATAAATCGAATCGTTAGGTCGTATGCGCATAACGCAGCACTCAACATAGCCCCGCACTAGGGAAACCCTGTGTCGCGAGTGCCATGGACATACACATAGACAAACTCACAAGATAAATAAATGTAGGCCATACAAATATTTCTCCCGGCCCGGGAACCTAACCTGGGACCTCTGTGTGGCAGTCCGGCATGGTAACTGTTTGGCCACGGAGGCAGTTAAAAAAAAGTTAAAAATCGATTTTAATAGGAAGAGGTTGTACTGTGTAGAGTTGCCTCAAAGATTTTTTACATCCAAATTTGTAATAAGTATGAAATTATACCAATTCTGTATTCTCCGTTTCTGTCCACGATTTTGGACAGAAATGGATTATAACCCGGCTATACTCGGGCGGGTTGATTGGGTTTCAATCCACTTACTATCTCTGGTCCAACGGATTGCATGTCTTAAGATAAAAATGTCAAAAATATGAATATCGGAAACAAGAGTGTAGAAATTTTTTATTTTCTGTATAATATGAGTAGAACAATCCTTTATATTCCCGTGATAGAATGTAACAAAAATATCCCCCGGTTTTGCTTGTTTTTCTTTTTTCAAATGTAGTGGAGTAAAACCCAAAAACTTTACAATGTGTATCATTTTATTATTGAGGAAACATGTATTCATCAAAGAAATCATTTATGCTACCACTTCTAATAAATGATATGTGACAAATGGTATTATTGTTATTCTTACCTCTTCCAGCCACATAACTGGGAATATGGTATTCGGGAACTTGTCGATGTTGTTGACTTTGATACTATTCGCTTGATTAACCTTGAGGTTCAGCTGGACTCGAACGAAGCCTTCGAGCGGGACTCCCAGTTTCTGAAATTTAAGAAAAGTATGCGTTATTTATTAGTTATATATAGCCGTGGTAGCCCAGTGGTTTCACCCACCACTTCTCAAGCAGAGGCGTGGGTTTGAATCGCACCTCTAAGTTTCTCGGAGTTTATCTAAGACAAAAGCGAGCTTTTTAAAACTTGCACATCGAAGAAAGTTCACAACCCTCGGACAACGTGTGAAGTCCTCAACATGCATTGGGCCAGCGTCGCGGATTATGGCCTAAACCCAGCAGTGGGACGTATAAATGGATTGATCATGAGTTATTTATATATTGGCAAACCAAAGAAAAAGGTATAAAGCTTGTCTATAGACAAGGAGCATTAAACTTTTGTAAATAATCATTTGAAATTTTTATGATTCTATTTCAATTGCCACAGTGCCTTGCATCCCATCTTCTGCATGTGGGAAACAATTTTTTTCCTAAATTTTGAAATGTGAGACTGTTTAGTAGCTCTAGAAACCTCGTACTCGTTAAGGTTCTTTATGAACAGTTTGAACACTAAGACTAGATGACATTGGGTTCCCATGGTGTCTCAAATTCTGGTAGGATTTCTTTTCTATATTGTTTTAAAGAGGGTTTTATCTTTATAGACATGCCACCCTCATACGGACAATACGGAGGTATTACAATCTAGGTATTGCTAATTTCACAGCGTTATACAACATCCTGACCTCCTTAGACAAGGGGCTGGCCAAGATTCTGTTGCATATACCTACTGCACATAGCGTCAAGTCCGGAATCTAATGTCGGAATACCTCACTCCTAACGCATTACATTATCACATGATTATCCATTAACACATAGACGTCTTCTGTTGTCGCACATATCTGACAGTTTGATGAAGGAACCTTTGACATCAGATGTCCGAACTTGTTCAAAGGAACGTGTCCTGAGCGAAGCCATAACGCCGTAATTAATTCACGCCTGTTCATTTTGGCGTCAACAAACCATGCAATGCGAGGTAGATTGAGTTGAATGGTTTTATACCAAATTTCCTTAATTGAGGATCTTAAATCGAAGTAGTCCTTCATAGAGTTGTAACAACGCTCCTTAATAAAAACAACATGTCTGAAAAATACGGTGTAGAAGAATATGTATCGCCCTCTACTGAGGCCTCTTTGACTAGTTTGTCCACCATCTCATCCCCGGTTATTCCAACATGTGAATGTATCCATTGCAACACAATCTTCCTGGCATCATTACATAACTGAGACAGCAGTCTGAGTCTCTGAGTCTGATATGCGACAGGACAACCACGAAAATTGGGCCTAGAACATCGCGCTAAATGTTGAAGGGAGCTCCAGGAGCCAGTCAAAACAACGCACTTTTTAGCTTCATAGGTTATGAAATAAGATAGGGCTTCAAGGATTGCTAAAGGTTCGGCATACATTTTTGTTGTAATTTTAAGTTTAATATAGCCATTAGTTTGTGGATCGTAAAAGGCCACACCCATCCCAAAATGATCTCTCGAAGCATCCGTATAAATTTTATAGAATTTAGAATGCGATTCTGACCGATACCTTACGCATACAGCTTTTAGATTGTACAGATTGTGTATTCTTTTTGCACCTGTTATTGAGGAGATAGACGGTCTTAGTAAATCTTTTAAATCCATACTGCCCACTCTGGTAGGATTAATTCAAAAGAAGAATGCTGCCAGGGCATCACCTGACGTGCATGTGCTAGCACTTCCAAAGGATGCAGGAACAGATGCAGCAAATTGGTCTGGGGCCATAATATTCATATTACTACATTCTCATGACCGTTTTCGGTTACGGCAACTGCTTCAGCACAGCTGTTGGTGGCGCCCGTGCGCTCTCACGTGGCTCACATCTATTACTAAAGACCCATGCGCACAGGGGACACGTGAGCACACCATGAACGTAGTGGTAGCTGATCGCTACAGATTGTTTAGCTTTCAGCTCGTTTGACGACTCTGGGGGCCCAACGATTTGCACTGTCCCGGTAAGACCAACTTGAATTTTTCGAAATTGGTTCTAGTTCTAGTGTTCTGGATAGGGAGTGAACTCCGTTGTACTGGTACTCGTATTACAAGGAAATTCCTTCCTGGAGACCAGGTAAATTAAAACACTGAAATTGACTTTAAATACAAATTGTACTGAAGAAATCGCGAATTGAATCTGTGATCTCGATTTTACAATTTTGTACTTACAGGTTGTATCATAAAGTATGTTTCGTGTTTTTCCTTGTCAGGTTTCAGGCCATCGAATTCAGTCAGAAGAGAGGGATCAGCATCGTAGAAGTGAGGAAATGAGAGATATACTGGTGCATCTGAAAGAAGAAACATATACATTTGTTAATGCAGTGCATAGATATCCCACACTTAAGCCAAGGTCACAAGAAGTATATGTATCAGGTATTCTAGAAACTTTAGTACCACTGCCCTGCCTTAAAGCAATACTGCTAACACTACTGGGTGGCAGATTTAAAGAACAGTGAGATCTATCCCAACCACAAGAACACTTGTGATCTTGTAATTTTAATATAGCGACTGTTTGCATTTTTATCAAGTGAATCGTCTGATTCTTTGTTGATATGTATTTGAGCTATAGTTTTTTGTAGCAATAAAGCTCCTTGTGAAGGAGTTGGTCCAGAAAAGTACTACTTCATACATAAGTCGGCTACTAAGTAGTAATGTGCGCTCTAAGTGAAATAACAGGCACATGGGACTTGTCAACTTATGTCTCAGGGGACGGACGCAGTAGCAGTGATCCTCAGATCTTTAAGATTTAATGCTCTGAATGGCACTGCAACCGCTATGGATAGGCGTGTCGCTTGAAAAGGTTGTAAACCACTATGCGCCATGACCAGGATCACGGCAATCAACTAGGAAACTTCAAGACCACAGACAACAAGACAAGAAAAGGTATATTAAAACAGGTACAACAGTATAAAACACTCTCTTACTACGGATTAACATAAATAGTCCGGACACTTGTAGCCTAGTAGTAGTTATTACAGATAAGAATTTAAAGGTACTGGCAAAAGAATCAACATTAGACGCAAATGTAATTAGAGCAGCTGTTCGCTGTCGCGATCGAGCAGGGAGTGGCAATGGAAAGAAACAAAATTAGTATGGCGATGCAAAGGAATTAAAGAACGATTCAAAATTTAAAAACAAGTGGCCCGGAACCAGAGAAAAGGCGACAAAAAGGTGGGATGAGGATGTAAGGAGTTCACATCGTCACACGCTTACCACCAGCACGACATCACGTGATATCACAAAAGTCTAAAAAATAGAAAACTTTTCTGTATTGTCTCGAGTCTGAGTGTTTGTGGTACCGTCGTTGTGTCCGATGTCCTTAACACAAGTGCTTCAGTTATTTACTTTGGGATCAGAGAAATGTAAGTGATGTTGTCTAATTTATAATATACTCACTATATTGACAGGGGCTGATATTTTGGAGGCCTCTCGGTGGACATTTCTCGCCTTGGCAGTAACATTTGTTGTCAGCATTGACGTCAGCGCACTCAAGCGTTGATGAAGGCGGTGTGTACTTGCCGGTTGGGATACCTGGATGTTAACAATTATTATGAAATATTTGGGGCTCGGAAAGCTTATCTGCACTGGGGACCTTTTTACGTCTCGTCTATACGCTACAGAATCAGACTATCAACATGCAAAACTATTGGAAATACACATACATATTACATCCCCAAAATAATGCAGCATTTTAACAATGTGTGGCCAGTTATTTTCCTTTTTTAATTTAGGTCTAATTTAAAAATAGAAAATTAGTCGATTCCTTTTTTTCATTGATTTGCTTTAATTTTCTACAAATACTTAGTTCTCTTGTGGTTCGAATGAAATTTTGGGTTCTTGTAAATTTCGTAATCTTTAGTCGAAACAATTTTTTGGTTTAGTAAACTTCAATTTAATCGATTAAACTGTTTTAATTTTCCAATTGTCAGCAGCTTCTGCTTTGTTTGCTATAAAATGCTTTTTGCTTCATTTGGATGTTTTTTTAATAAAGATTGAGTAAGATAATGTTAATTTAATTACTATTTTATGTTTAATTCTTGTTTATTTAACTCTTGTATATGTAACTGCCTCTGTGGCCGTATGGTTCCCGTGATGTTCGTTTTACTTAGAATTGAATTATATGTAAATAGTTAAAAGCTCCCCAATGCTAATAACAAAAATAAAATCAATGTAGCTTTGTTTGTGAAAGAAAAAAATATCATCAACGTCACTACATGTCACACTGGTGTGCAGGGGCTTCCTTGAAATAGAGGATTTAGGCTAGTGTAATAAGTGTACGTAATATAGAAATTAAAGTCAGATAGATAGACTATAGAAGATTAACTGCCTCCGTGGTCGAACGGTTACCATGCTGGTTTGTCATGCAGAGGTCCCGGGTTCAATTCCCGGGGCGGGAGAAATATTTGTATGTAGATATATTTATTTCTCTCGTGAGTTTTAGTCTAATTTGTGGTTGTCTATACATGTGTCTATGGCACTCGCGATACAGGGTTTCCTTAGTACGGGGCTATGAGTGTGTGCGCTTTATTATTATTATTTAAATATAAACTTATTTATATTTTCACTTATTTTTTATTCCGCAAAGTATGTCGGACATGTGTTACCGTGTCTAACCAATACATAATAATCAGCAATCAAAAACAGCATTTTGCATTCTTGTGATTGCAGGGCAAAAGCTTTTTGGGGTACACGAAAGGAGCCTCCTCGCAATGGCGTACTATTCATGTCCCATGTACAGCTGGCGCGCCCTGAATAACAATCGGCTAGGATGTTGCTCCTGATTGGCAAATTCTTTCATCACACTTCACTACCGGCTGCTACTAGTGACTCCGGTAGCGGCTATAACTTCAGGGCCACAATAATATAGTGTATGCAATCGATAGTAAAAAAAGAAGAAGGGCAAAAAGATTATTAACCTCAAAGATTATACATGATCTGAGAAGCAAAAGACCTTCCTACCCAACCCCAAAGTATTACTACTAGTATGCGTCTGTACTCACCGTCTTTATAAACGTCTTCCCGGTACTGTAAGGGCACTATCCTGCAGAGATCTTTATCGTAGATGTACACCAGGTCCTTCTTGGTGACTGACCGAGGCGGGAAGAAGGAGCCTTCTGAAGCTCTGAAACAAATAAGAATTATTGAAATACTTGTGCTGGTATTATGGTTCCTAGGTTTGAAAAGGTTATGAAACACCAAGAAAACACAGGACACATAAAATTAATAAAATAAATAACACAAGCGCAACTATAGTCACAAACCATCACCAAAAATATACCCGACACGTGTTTCGCCTCTCCACGAGGCAGGGGCTATTGACTGCTCGACCCTCGGCCGAGCGTGTCGGGTATATTTTTGGTGGTGGTTTGTGACTTAATTTACTTCCATTTTTATCAGTTTATATTGTTCTTCAAAAGGGTCCGCTACGCAGCCTTGCATCGCGCATCGCCTAGTTACCCCTTACACATCAGGTGGAATCGCAGCCTTAACGTTTTCAAAGGTAAGATTGCTGGTGATATTACAGGCACATGGGGCTCGTTAACTGTTGTCTCAGGTGCAGTGACAGTAGGTACCCCTCAGATCTTTTAACTGCAGTTATACTAAACTTATGATTCGCAGTTATGCAAAAGTTATCGCCCGGTTTTAATGATAAAAATCCGATATCTTGGTTGTTAATCGAACTTAACAACATCCTTATAAAACTCGGTCAATGTTAACTAATTGAGTTTGCATGCTAATTGTTAAACGATAATGGTTCGAGTTATAACTATGGTTTAACTTATGAACTGTGGTTTTATTACCAGTTCTTAGTTATTCGCGATTGTTATATATTGGAAATGAAACTATTATTTTTATTTACTATTTACTATAAACTATTTACCCGTCTTCAAACAGAAGAGAATATTCTCAATTACAATTCAATGTTACGCTATTATTCCGGCACTTGTAAACTGATTTCGATGATTATTATAGTGGTGGCCCCCTTGGTTTATGTGCAATAAAGACTATTTCATTCATTTGATGATTGGATTCAATAGAAGTTTTGATTTTTTGTAATAGTTACCCCTAACTGAACACTGCCTCCTAAGACACAGTCTTTGATTAGTTTAGGAGGCAAAATCCCTAAATTTGGTACGCCTTATTTTATATTTTGTGCTACGTTATATCTATACCAATAAAATTTTGTTAAATAAATAATAAAATTGCTGCTCTGTACTAATTATAAGGCAAAAGTGTTAATAAAGATAAAGATTTATTTATTTACATTTCTTAGTTCAATTTGCAGGTTTTCAGAAAATTTTGTGACGAATTTCTATATCAGTTAAAATTAAATACAAATTATTTCGAAGAAGTTTAGCGCCTCCTTTGTTATTAAAAAAAGAAACATTTTAAACGGTCTCACGAGTACAAAGTAACTTTTAATAACTTCACTCAGGTTTGTACCTAGAATCATGTGCTGCGCATTATTTGCTGTGTAAAGTTTGCTCTCTTTGAAGGTCTCAAGCTGACCTTCTTTGGTTTGTGACACTGCTTCCTTGAAATTGTGAGAAAACGGATGGATCTGATGGCTTTCTAAAAGTATTTTATTTAAGAGAATGGGACAAACGAACTTTTATAAAATTTTAATCATTAAAGGTTTATCACTCATTACGAGAATTTTTGGCAGATGAATAAAGGAGAAAAGAACTAACGAATTAATTTGGATATTCATATTTAAAGCTATCTTACTAATTACGAACCGCATTCGAGAAGAGCGGCGGCCGCCCGAAGGCAGCGAAGTCTAAACTTAAATGCCTCTGGACCCCTTTCAGAAATAAAGGTACCTAAGGAATTTCGCTTTCTTCTCTCTTGCTAATTTCGTGCAGTCCGGTTAACCATCGGGAGGAGGTCCCTATAGGGCAAAGGGACCTCCGTCTCTAGGGTCTACATATCCCGGGGAGTTAACTCGTGTTTGTTCAGCAAAGTTTCCGAGCTACCGTTTCTATTGCCACTTAGCGTGGGTTAAGGACAGGAAGACAATGAAAAAGAAAAAGTATGAATTTTGATTGAAGACAGATGGAGCAAAGCGAAGACAGATGGAACAGAATAGAGGCCAAGACAGAGATGGGTGAACGACATCGTCAATGATGGCTGTAGATGGATGATACCAGTACAGGATCGTGGTGAATGGCACAAACTACGGGGGGTCTATACTCAGAAGTTAGGCTGTGAATGATGATGACGATCATAGAAAACCTGCAAGAGCTAAACGGGTTACTACCAAGGATTGTCATCCCAGTAAACTGTAGAGTGCATGAGAAATGATGACCCGATATTCGTTTTTTCTCGTATTCGATTTTCTAGATTTGTTCAGTCTCGGATTCGGAAAGAATACGAATACGAAGTAAAATTTTTGTTATACTATAGTTTCAATCCCTTTAAATGACAAGTTTTGGATATTAATCGGAGTCTGATTATAGAAGTACCTACATACATATAATACAGATTAAATGAATTTGTACTTTGCGAAGACGACTGTCAAGAACAGCCAGTTTATTTTTATTCCTTCCACTCGGACTGCTAAGGCAGATATGGACATAAGGTTTTTTCTGATCTCCTCCTACTCCTGACCTGACTCCCTTAATTTGGGTTAATAAAAAACCAACAAGGACCAGTTGTACTTACTGTATGTTGTTACAAGGCCGATCCTTCCAGTGGACGAGATGGTCCAGACCATTTATCTTGTCGATATACCCGAACCTCTCCAGCGATTGCTGGCCTGTGTAAATGGTTTCAGTCTCAGCTAGCGTGCCGTTTCTCTGGAAAAGTTTGGAAAAATAATCAAGTTCTGACGTTTTGAAAATGTCGATATTACATGCCACGATTATATCGTCGAAGATTTGAATAATGAGTTTATGGAATTTGAAAAATGACTAAGGGAAATAATAATAGTACATTGAGTATTACTGGCGGTAAATAAAGAATTACGAAGGACACTTTATTAGACTTTAGGGGTCGAGGTTCGTAATTCCCGTACCGTCCGTGAAACATTCAATTTTTCATCACATTTGCGAGTAAAAGTGATGAAGTAGTCAAGTTGCGTGCAAACATTTTATTTACGTGCAAGTATGATGAAAAAGAAAATTGAATCCGTGTAACAGGATCCAAAAGACTGTAGCTATGCCAATACGTTAGACAAAATAACCGCCATGAAGGACTTCCCATTCCGGTCATGATTTTTAAAGATATATTTAATAAGAAAAAGTGCTTCTACTTTTCTAAACCAGCGGCTGTTGCCTCAACGTGGCTACCGCTCTGCCAACTTAGTTAAGGACCGAGCCAGTAAATCTCACGAATTTCTGTATGCTTGTTGTGAATCTTTGTATTATGAAAGTTTCTTCACTCAGCCATCTTCACAGCCACCAAGACTGACAGATATGGCACTATATTAATAGTTTTTTTTTTTCAGTCGGGTCGAAGGGATTTTCCTTAGTGCGTCTTCGGTCTTTGTATCAATAAAAAATAAAAAACTAGAGCAGTACTTTCACGAAAAAATAGGTGAATATCGTTCCGTATCGTTTCATATCTGTCAAAATATATATTGTCATACTGAAGTCGAACTTAACTTACCGCTAGTAAAAGTCCCATCTGGCTATTAGGTCTCTTTCCTTTTGGATAGAAGTAGTGAGCTAGAGTAACTAGAGGGTCGTTGTACCTGTGAAGAAAATACGGAGCATTACTAATCAAATGTGGATTAAGTTTTAAATTGCTTTTGGAGTGGTTGTACTTTGTGTACATTTAGTTAATGCCGTTTTTCAGGTGATCGTAGTATGCAGAAAAATCTCTAGTTTGATGCCAGGTAACTACTTTGATTGTCTGGTATTATAAATATTTTAAATCCGTTCGGTTTTTTCATATCCGTCTTAAGCAGGAAAAATTCTTAAGCAGGGGACGAAGATCTCAATTCTAAGGTTATAACAATCCTTCGCTTCTTCTCTTTTTAACTCCTCGAAACCTCCAATAAATAGCAACTTACCCAAAAACTAGTTGTTCAGCAGTGACTTCGACGAACGGCTTCGCGTTGTCGCGGTATGTTAAAGCGAGGCCAGAGACCAGAAGATTGAACACAAAACTTGCCATGTTGGGAGAGAATGAAGTTACCGTCTGAAAATAAAAATAATTACTCAGCATTTTATTCCCAATGAGTAGTAATCTATGAACTAAATGTAGCTGATGTTGAAGATCAGGTGAACAACATTCTCCGGAACGATGCATCGCCAATTCAGGTTCAACTGAGTAATGACGGTGACCCAGGAAAGGAAATTGTGGTAGATATTGAAGAAGTCTTACGTCCATAAGTGGACGACATACTTGAAGAAAGTAAGTAGCCGTAAAGCAAACTGCTGTATTCCGAATTAATTGAAGTAAAGAAGGAGCCCAGGCAATACATGCACAGAGGACTTGACATTTGGTGGATCGTCTTACTGTTAAACCAGTTTAACATAAGGATGATGATAAATAATAGGTATTATAAAAATAACTTACCAATAAAGGAATGTTAGGTACAACAAGCTTTTGGTCCTTATTGACGCTCATCTCAGGCACGAATCGCAAGATCTTGTGGTGTTGAAACGTCACCGTGTCGTTATCGTGGAACTTTATGTTCACCTTCTCCATATCTTCCCTGCAACAAGCAAGAATAACACGTTAGACACACGTGTACACAGGGAAGCACTACCAGCTTATCTTACCCACCTCTGCCGCCAAGCAGTGATGTGCGCGTTACTACTGCTGGTGAAATTACAGGCACATGGGACTTGTCAACTTATGTCTCAGGTTATCGGACGCAATGGCAATGGCCCTCAGATCTTTGCAATTTAAAACTCTAAGCGGCACTTCCACTGTAATGGACAGGTGTGACGCTTACTACCAGGTACACGACATGTTTGTCTCATCACTTTGAACAGACAGATAAAGAAACAGGTAGAGTCTGAAACAAATGTTCTTAAGTAGTACTGGTCTAATATTTCATTTGATTTCGTTATTCAGTCGTTAGTATCCCACTGCAGAGCAAAAGCCTCCCTTCCTTTAATCGTCTGGACAAGATCTCATATTGCCCACAGCTCACTTGACATGCGGCAAATGTGTCCGGCCTAGTTCCATCTCAAACTCGCGGCTTGTTGACCAACAATAACGACTTGTTTTCATCTTGTAGCCATCTCTGAGGTCACGAGTTCGATTGGCAGCCAGGTTAATGTAGAAAAACTAACTTTTCTGTGTTCTATATTCTGGGTATTTGTGGTACCGTCATAGTTCCGCTTTAACTGTTAATACTAAGATTCAAACCAGTATCATCAGCATAATATGCGGATGCTCTCCGAACTGAGCTAGGGAACGAAGCGGCAGACCTTACAAATTTTTCTATGTGCTTGGTGCAGATTTTTGCCTTTGGATTTTTAAAGATTTTTGTGAGAAATTTACGAAAATTTTTCTTCACTCAGCCAGGTATCTTTAAAGCTACCAGCGGCTGACTAGAGGTGTCGCTTATCAAGTTCATTGAATATCATCACCATGTTTTACTACTTCCTACATGATATTCAATTATTTTCTTGTGAAATTAACTAGTTTGATATAATTATATTAATACAAATATAAAACACTGAAAAATTATTTCGATCTGGCTAGATACAAACCGCATACTGTGCCAATGCTGTTTAGTCTACAATCTTTGTACTAATAATAAAAACAAACTAGAGCCGCATTTAAAAATAAATGACTATCATGTAATAAAACATTATGATATTCAATAAACTCGTATTACAAGTGCTTTAGTTACTTTGGAATCAGAGCAACGCATGTGATATTGTCTAACATAATATTGCTATACAATATTATTGTCTAATATCACCGATTTGTGTTTTGGCACGCAGTATACTGCTTTACAATCTGACAGTTTCACTTCTAAGATACTAACTTTCCGTGCCTTGCTGACTATGCACTATCATCATCGAGTATATAACCAGAATAGAGACGAAATGTCATTGAATTTGTTTGAAAACTATTCTGCCATTACAGTGACAACTGCGCTCCTTAAATATTTGAAGCCATTGTCACAATTGGATGCTGCTAACCACTAACGCGTCAATAAATATGATTATAGTTTTGCGGAAATGGCAGCTAAAGATGTTTTCGTAATTTTTAATAGTTTGTTCCAACATTTTTTTAACTGTATAATAGACACGCGCTTGGCCACAATCTCACTTGATGTTAAGCGACGATGTGCCTTGAATAGCCCCAAATTGTACTTTTCGGGTAAAACAGATTAGTAGAGCATTCCATTCCTTTACCGCAAACATCAGACAGGAGGAAGCGCTTAGTGCGAATGGGTGGTATATCAGCGACGTAAGGATGGAGTGTTCCCGACCTTCTAGTCGACCGAAGGAGAAACGGCGAGGTGAATTTACTTGCAAAATGGAAACTTTTGCTAATGTAACCTTAGGAATGATCTTTTGTTGTGATTTATTACTATAATTCCCTAACAAAAACAAGCGTAATGGCAAAAGTTTTCATTTTACAAGTAAATTTTAGAACAAATAAATAAATAGATACGGTACACACTTATAGCCCCGCACTAGGAAAACTCTGTATCGCGGGTGCCATGGACACAAGCATAGACAACCACAATTTACACCCAAACTCACATGAGAAATAAATGTAGGCCATACAAATATTTCTCCCGGCCCGAGAATCGAACCCGAGACTCCTGTGTGGCAACCCAGCATGGTCACCGTTCAGCCACAGAGGCAGTTAAGAACAAACTATCAAAAACAACGGATCTCTGGTTTCGAGTTGTCAACTTATGCCTCAGTGGCAGTGCCCCTCAGAGATTTGCAATTTAAAGTTCTGAGTAGTACTACAACTGCTATAGACAGGCGTGTCGCTAACCACCAGGGCGCAGGTAAAAAAAATCATAAATTATATTTTGAAATGTGGACTGATACGGAAAATAACCTTAAAGTCTGATCATTCAAAATAATAAACTTCTAATAATTTCTAACGGAAGCAAAGCAATAGCAGAACTAGTTGTATTCCCAAGGTTTCGCCGGACCATTAGTTTATGCAACCTATGGCCGGTTTGGTTACGACAATTTGTGTTGGACATGCGTGTGCGCACGTACTGGCACGATGACAAGTGATTTGTAATTTAGGCACTTGAGAATTGACGATGGATAACGTGAAAACGTCACAAAGTAAATTTTTGGTGAGTCGTTATAAGTTTGTGATGCAAAATAAAATTATACCAAGTGACGGGACGAACAACAGCTGCAGTGCCACTCAGAGCTTTAAGTCGCAAAAGATCTGTGGGGCAGTGCCACTGCGCCCGTTACCCTGAGACATAAGTTGACAAGTCACATGTGCCCGTAATTTCACCAGAACCCTTACCCTTCAAAACCGGAACACAGTAATGCTGACATTACTGCTTGGCGGCAGAAATAGGTAAACTGGCAGTACTTCACTATACGAACTCTTTCTCAAGAAGTTCTACCGTTACTAATTTTACGCACACTATTTATTAACCGGCTTCATTCACACAGTCATATCTACATACAAACAAAAAAAATAGTCTACTCACTACTTAACACGACCAAGCCAGGTACCTACATACACAAACAGACAAAATCATAACGTACGTACCTACCCGAATAAAGAACTGTTTTTTATTATTTCTTTTATTTGCAACAAAAAACAACAAAAAAAGTGAGCACGAAAATATTTTTTCTTTTGTATCATTCACAGCTATAATAATTCGTTATAGAATTCTCAGATTAGGAATTCGTTTCAATTATTAAATTAAATTAAGGTTATAATTATAAATAATAAGCTAAAAGAAAGAAAAAAAAATCAAATTAAAAATTAGCTTCACGCTTTTGGCAGTGACTGTACACATTTTAGTGAAGAAATCACATTTTTCTGCAACATGACACCACATTAAACATTCACTAAAACAGTGTGCACGTTTTCGATTTCTAGCGTTTTTTAAATACAAGGTTACAACTTCAATATCTGGCACGGCTCCGTATTTTTTTAAACTTAGTGTAAATACTAAATATTCATACAGTGAGAATGTTATTTAAGATTAGTGCCACAGTACAATTAACTCGACAGTTGAAACTATAGCATAAACAAACTACCGGAAGTGAATCCATAGAACATAACCGTGCGTCAAAGGGCTTGTAGCTTTATGTAAGTTCCCATAATGAACTATTGAATACAGTGCCATCTACTGTTGAGTAACGGAACTTCATGAGTAAATAGTTCATGATCGCTGTTTATCGAATAATATTTAAAATAAGGTTCATTCTTTTTATGAAAAGGTTTGTGCTTTTTGTCTAATTTCGTTTGGAAGATGAAAAAGAAAGAAAGATGATTGTCTCAAGATCAGCAATCACCGTGAACAAGATTTGTGCGTGCTATAAAGTCAAAATATAAAGTGGGGTTCACCTCGCACACAGCACGCGTTGGTTTAAAAATTTTACCTAATGTACACGACATTTTTGTAGTTGGTTAAAAGCACGCACCATAGTCACTCGTATGAATAAGAACAATCACAACAATTTGTAAAGTACAAGTGAAATTGGACAAATAAACAAATATTAGCTCGTGTTATGAGAATAGGTGCCTTGGCCTCGAAATAAGTTTGTGGAACGAAGGACGGGGTTCGATTCTTGGGCAAAGCCAATAATTGTGAAAGACAGGACATTAGCTGTGGCAACGTGGACTTTAAATGAGATATTATATGTAAAGTGTGACATGGCTCAATAATTCAGCACGCTACGTTATTACAAGAGAAGGTTAGTAGTCAAGAAGTAGCAGGACCCTTTGTCACCTTACCTATTTCTGCTGCCAAGCAGTAATGTCAGCACCACTGTGTCCCGGTTTTGAACGGTAAGGTAAAAAATTACAGGCACGTGGGACTTGTAAACTTCTCAGGGCGACGGGCGCAGTGGTAGTGCCCTTCAGACCTTTGCGATGTAAAGCTCTGAGTGGCACTGCGACTGTTATGAACAGTCGTGTAGCTTACCATCAGGCGCACGGCTTGTCCATCCCGTCACTTGATATTATAAAACAAACCGTCTTGGGCAATTGGTGTACAATGGCGCAAACCGACAATTTAACTTAACAACTTAGAAATTAAAATCATATGTAGATACGTGCCCCAGAGGAGACCCCGTGTCTAGCAGAGTTTTATTATGTGGTACTCACTTGTAAACAAACGGCCCCACTTCCACTAGTTTAGGCTTCTCCCCATTTTCAAGAAAACCTTGTGGATTGGTGACATTGAAGATGTACACTTTGGTGAGTCTGACCACACCAGGTTTCTGCCAGTAGCTGTAGCTTAGAGACCCGTTCCAGAGTTTAAGTTCCTGTGAAAGTAAAAATATAGATTCAGAAATTTTGAATGGACGAGGACGAATGGACATCCATAATATTAACCTTAGAACTAAGTCCAAACTCATGGTACCACGTTTTCGATTAACTAAGGTAAACGATTCTTTTATGGGGAACTGTATACGTTTTTACAATAAGATTCCGGAGCATATAGTAAGTTTATTATTTCCTAAGTTTAAAATTTACATTTAAAGTATTTTAATTGAAAAGTCATATTACAAAATTATAGACGACGTGCTAGATAAAGATGTATGGAAAGATAATGTGAGACTAGATTCCATACAAATATGATTCTAAATGTATTATTCTATAGCATTTAAGTTTATTTGAAATGAGCAATCCCTAGAGTTTCTTGCTCGTTCTTCTCAGGGAGGGCAGCGTAGTGAACGAGCAGTAGCTTAAAAAATGACGTTTTCAAGTGTAAAAATTTTATCTATGGAATAAATGATTATTTGACCTTGACTTTGACTTGGAGGTCTCGGATTCCCGGAACCAAAAATTGGGAAGTGAATTTTTCTGAGTTGGTACTAGACTGGATGTTTGGAATGTGACCTGGTGTAAATTCCGTCGCTCTGGTACCCATGCTTCAGAGAATTCCCTTGAGACCAGTTAATAAGTGTGATTGTTTTAATTATAACTGTTTTAATCGACTTCAAAACAAGGAGGAGGTTCTCAATTTGTTTTTTTTTTGGTATGTTACGAGAAAATTGGAAAATGTTGTGTGTCAGTCTAGTGACAACTCTAGTACGGGTAGTTAGAGATCATGGACAAGTTTTATTGAAATCGGTTACCGGAAAACGCTGAGCGAAACAGGATTCATCTCCTAGTTTGTTTGCCACCTTTCGAGGTAGAGTATTTTCTTCAAATTTAAGTAGAACCAATAATGAGGTATCCTCTTTCCAAAAAGAAAAGAATCATCAAAATCGGTTCACAAATGCTGAAATTTTCGCGTAACATCCACACAAAAAAAAATATATTTTTTTAACAAAATGAAAGTATCATAAGTAATACCAACTACATGAAACAAATTATGTTTAAGTGAGATTTTATAAATCTCCTAATTAGGCATAAAAAATGTTGACATTTTAAAGATATGACCTTATTACAACGAAGTTAAGAGATTTTTTTTTTAAATTATAACGCACACACTCAACATAGCCCCGCACTAGGGAAACCCTGTGTCGCGGGTGCCATGGACACACATATAGACAACCACAAATTACACCCAAACTCACGAGAGAAATAATTGTAGGCCATACAAATATTTCTCCCGGCCCGGGAATCGAACCTGGGACCTCTGCGTGGCAGTCCGGCATGGTAACCGTTCGGCCACGGAGGCAGTCATTAAACAAAGAGGCAGAGATATCATTAAACATCACATATATCCCGATATAGTGTGTTCAATCAGTTTTATTTCCATAATATTCAGATAAGGTACAATAAAAGCTTAAATACTATAAAGCAGAAGTATCATCAAAATATATCAATAAAATTGCGTACCCGCGGCAACGTGCCCAAGATGCTGCCAGCGTTTCCCCTTTGTATGGCTATGCTAATGGGCAAGGTAGCTGCCGACCCTTGAGTTTCCCAGACAGTCTAATTTTGCACAGATGAAGAGCACTGGGGCTCCACGGGCCAAGGGTTTCGACACCAAAGGCTGTAAATAGGTAGTCCGGCCCATACTTTAAGGGATGAGAGTCATTCCGTCCGGGCGTTTGCCATCTGTTCGCAACATGTGGCTAAGGCCCGGTGATGTCGTTGAGTGTGTATAACTACACCTTTTGATGAAAAATGGCGTGTCTTGAACATTAAAGAATGTACAGGAGTTGCGAGCTCAGGCAACTTATTACAAATCTCGCAAAACCAAGGGCAGCTTGCAAAATTGAGAGGCACAATAAGAAAAAGTAATGCAAATAGTACATTGCGTACTAAGGACGGAAAATAAGAAATTACTTACGAGGGGCTATTACAAACCCGAAGCCAAAGGCTGAAGAGTTTAAGAACTATAGTTGTAAATTTTTTTACCGTCCGTGATACATACAATGTTTTTTATCACATTTACGAGGAAACAAATACAATATAAATATGGTTCCCAACAAAATTATGAATTTGCAAATGGCGGGTTTTTTTTTTAATTCTTCCATGGATAATAACATCTCGAAGTAAAATGTTGTAAGAAGCAACCGCGCATACAGCCATGATGGATTACAAAAAACAATTTGCAAAATTTTTATACAGAAAATAATTAAAAATCAATTACAAGAAATTCTAAATAATAAATATTTAAGTAGTATGTGGCCGAATTGAAATTAGATAACATTTTAAGCGAATGTTTTAATTTTGAACTTAAGTAACCTCCTTGCTTCAACTTGAACCTGACCTATGTGCGGAATATGTCATGTTACAAATAAAAAAAACTCCTTAGGTACCGACCATGGCTGTAATGACAAGAAAAAGCACCCGTGAGTTTTATCTGGGGTATTATAGTCAAGCTAGGCACCATGCAATCATACCATTTACGAGCAAGTGTGTTATAGTGGTACTGGAAATTCTCTAATTTGACACCAGCTAATTGGTGTGTTAGTTTGGCACGTTGTTATTATAATAACAACAACGTATACACTCATAGTGCTCCTGAGAAATCCTGTGTCTCGGGTGCTACGGACACACGAATTCACAACCACAAATTACACCAAAACTCACGAGAGAAATAAATATAGGCCATACAAATATTTCTATGAGACTTCTGCGTGACAGTCCAGCTTGGTAAACATTCGACACCTGAGGCAATTATAATTAAGCGAAACAGACAGTCTTTTTAACCGACTTCAAAAAAAGGAGCAGGTTCTCAATTCGACAGTATGTTTATATGTATGTTACGCGATAATTTGTGAACCGATGATTGACCGATGAACCGACCGACCGATGATTCTTTTATTGTTGGAAAGAATCCCATTTAAATTTGAAGAGAATATTCCACCTCTAAGGGTGGCAAACTATTATGTTTAAATTTGAGCGCTATGAAAATTACATACGACGCATTTTGTCTTTATACGAGGAATCTTATTTTTTGTACTTACACTAAATATAATGTAGTCCAACCAGGGTACAAAGGAGAGGATGATCCCGAGTACCACCGTACAAATGCTGAACATGATCACTGCTAGGCGTCCTGGAACAAACAAACATACAGTTTTAATTGTAAATCTTAAACATTTGTTTTATATATTTTTTTACATTGTGGTGGTTTGCATTAATAATAGACATAACTGGTTGATGACTGTACCACCTCAGTCAACCGTGACCATGAGACCTGTAAAGGGCCCGAAACGTCGGTTTGTTTGAAAAAAACAAATATACGCAATTAAATCCGGAAAAATAGTTTCATTTCCTATATGTTTACACTTAAATAAATTCTATGAATACATTGACTTACAAATAAATGGACGACGGGTCTAATACAAAAAACCACGAAAAAAATGTCCCAAGTCAACCTATTTAAACGTAGTGACATGTAAAGGAATATGAAAAAGCTTTTAAATTGTAATGTCATCGCAGTACTGTCTAATTTTGCTTGCTTCGCTGTCAGTCGAACAAACGAAGACTAAAGCGTGAATGACGCTCTGTATACGATTTTAACGCCCTATAAGTTCGGACACTTTTTAGCGCGGACCCGACGTCCATATAATTGTAAGTCAATGTATGAATATTATACTACACACAAAAATAGTGTCTCTTTATAACAGCTTGGCATTTCCTGACATTACCCTCAATGTCACTTAACATTGTGTCTGGTAGATTGTTGAAAATTTCTGGCAGAATGTAGTCCGGCCTGCGTATTCCAATCTCAACGTGGCTAGCGCTTTTACCAGCTGAGTTATGAATCGTTCCGGCAAACTTTACGAATTTGTCTATGTGCTGAGTCAAACAATCTTAATTTCATAGGTAAGCATTATTACACTTGAAACCGTCACAATGGTTAAACTCTACCGCTCATTCGTAAGGCAGATTCCCCTGAGAAGAATGAGCAAGAAACTCTAGGGCTTGCTCTTTGTAAATATACATTTGAATCTTAGATCGAGAATACCTTCATAAGCTAAACGGGTTACTATCACGGATTTTTGTCATCCAAGTACGCAGAAGTTGTATAATAACCTTTAGTATAAAGTTTTTGTTTCGTAAAACCTCGTGTCAACCTCGTGAATGGAATCGAAAATTTTGTATATCAACCGGAACCTTTAGTATAAAGTTTTTGTTTCACTATAGTTTTAAACCTCGTAAATGACAAATTTGGAATATCAATCGGAATCTTATTGTAGAGTCGTATACATTGCCCCTTGAATTTGAGACTTTATGAAGACGACTATCAAGAACAGATAGTTTATTTTTATTCCTCGCGTATTGTATTGTTTGTCATTATTTTTCATGAAAAAATTAATATTTTTCTTAACATAAATAACATTTTCCTAAATGTAGGGGAGCGTGGGGGAATGGGAGCCTACTAAGGAAAATTGACGATAAAAGTCATAATTTATGCAATTAAAATTTTTGTTAGTTATGAACGTACGCTTCACATATCTGGGTACTAAATAATCACATAAAAATATGAAACTAAAATAAAATATTTGGTTAAAACAGAAAAAACTAAAACATGTCATTCGCTCTCATTATCCCACAGTTCGGGAAATGGGAGCCGGTAAGAATCCCGTATGTCAAATGGGAGCCATTATATGTATACAGGCTGAAAAAAAATTAAAGTAATAAAATATATAAGTTAAAAAGTAATGAAAATAAACAAGAAAGCGTTTAAGGCATATCCAGTGAATATTGCAATGGGATAAGGAGAGCCAAATAGCTCTCATTACCCGCGTAACATCGAATTGAAAAAGGAATAAAACAGTAAAACCATTTCTATTTTTATTGTGATTTCAAGCATAACTTCTAAAATTTGATAGATATGGTGACATAGCTAGTGTAAATACAATGTAGCATCTATGCATTTTAATGCTTACCTGGGATGATGAAATTTAGCAAATTTTATAAGCGCGGAGCGACAAACACACAATCATCTCATACGACTAAACCCAGGGTTCTACGGGGGCGCCCACGGGACTCGAACCTTGTCAAACGTTAACGAAGACATAGGAGCGCCGTTTGCGCAAATACGAGCATTGGGAAAGTCCAGTTTAACACCGCTCTCATTACCCGCGGGCTCCCAATACTCCACGTTCCCCTACTGTGACGTTAGTGTAAGAATGTTGTGTCTCTTTAAACTTATCTCTCAAAAACAATCTGGGGCCGATTGTAAACTGCCCTCACCGCACTTTTGTGCTTACCACATGACCATGTTTATTTTTTATATAATATCAAGCGACGGAACGAACAAGTGACACGTCTGTCATAACAGTTGCATTGTCATTCAGAGTTACCCTGAGACATAAGTTGACAAGTCCCATGTGCCTGCTATTTCACCAGCACCCTTACATTTCAAAAACGAAACGCAGTAGTTCACATTAGACATAAGTACTGTGGCAGTACTTCCCTAGACGAACTCTTTCACAAGGGGTCGTGTTCGTCCATGTTGTCGGACACATAGTTTGTTTGTTACGCACACAAAACACGACAACAATAAATCTTCATTAAACATTTCTAGAATATTTTTTAATTACTAGGTAATTCTACTCGCGTGACCTGCAGATAGGAATCGGTGGTTTTCTCCAGGTATCCTAGGTCATCTTCATTATTACTAAGGCAATAAAAAAACTTATACGGAAGCCAAGTTTGTATTGTCTATGTTACTAATGAGTTATAAAAACAATGTAATAAGGTATAAGTATAGCTTCATTAGCATGGAAATATATATTTATAATATACACATTGTTTTACTACAACCATATGCAATTAGATTTTGTGAACTCCACTAGCAATAGTAGAGCTCTTTGTGAAAGAGTTCGTCTAGGGTAGTACAACCAATGTATGTATTTCTGCCGCCTAGCAGCAATGTCGATATCCGGTTTCGAAGGGTAAGGGTGCTGGTGAAATTACAGGCACATGAGACTTGTCAACTTATGTCTCAGGGTGTCGGGCGCAGTGCCAAAGTCCGTCAGATCTTTGCGAATTAAAGCTTATCATCATCAGGCGCACGACATGTTCGTCCCTTCACTTAATATTATAAAAAAAAACTAGTTTTGTTATATGAAGATGGAACACTTAGAAAAAAAATTTTGATCCGGCTGGATTCGAACCAGTGCTTTCAGCAGCTATCCCAACAGAGCTACGGAACAAATTTTGTAATGTGCTTGTTGCTTGTTGGTTTTAGTTTTGAACGACTTTTTGGCGTAGCGCCATCTGTGAGTAATCTATGAAAGATTTCTTCACTCAGCGCTTGTTCGCACGAAGGAATTTTCTTAGTATTGGATCTTTGTATTTATAATTATAACATTAAAATTTTTCCCCTACGGTTCATTTTGCTTGCGTTTGAAAAATAAGCCATTGATTGAAGCTATTTGAAAAATGTATATCGTATACTATACGTGTTTTTTTTTAGTTCAGTCGATATCATCTCAGTACAGAGTACTAAAAAAACCGACCTCAAAAGTACGTGGAATTACGTCTATTTGCTAAATTTTATTGAAATATCCCCTAGTTCGCCACTATGCAGGACTTGACACTGGAGACAATAAAAATAGGTTCTCACTACGACACTACTCAAAGTATATTGAGAGAAAAACGCCTTGAATTGAAGAAATAGCAAAATCAAGCATTAAATTAATTGCTCCTAAATTAAAGTTAGGCGCTATTTATAAAAATGAATCTTGATGTGTGAACAGCCACCCTTAGAGGTGGATGATTTTCTTCAAAATGAAATGGGACCACTATGGAAGTACCCCCTTTCCAACAAAAAAAGAATCATGAAAATCGGTTCACAAATGCCGGAGCTATCGCGTAACATACATACAAAAAAAGAACATACAGTCGAATTGAGAACCTCCTCCTTTTTTGAAGTCGGTTAATTAAAAAAAAATTGGTATACGTAAAGTACCTTTTAAATGCAGCGGTTTTCTTGTAAAATTTCGAAGTAAGTTTGTGATTTTTTCTATCGAGAAAATTTTTTGGAATTTTGTTTTCATACTATATAGTAATCAGTGTATATACTCGATTTTACTACATATTTCTTTCAAAGTAATTAATTCTACACTTTCACTGTTATGAGGATTCCTCGTATCAACCAAAGTCACTTAAGGTTGTATAGACTCCTAAGTTATAAGTAAGGATTTGTATTCTCGTGGTAAGTAGCGTAATCTATTATAAATAGATTATTAAGTTACTTCATGTGTCTAACGTTCATGAACGGACTTTAATGATTGTTTTATTATCTAATAACACGTCTAAAGTTATTCGAGGCCACTGTACATTGTTGGATGTACCATCATTATTAGAATAAATGTTTTTTTATACAATGAATTCATTTATTGATATACTTGAATTCACATGGGGTTATACGCCTAAAGTGCTTTTTTTTCTTGCTTAACTATTAAAGACCCCACAGTACACAGCCTCTATAAAGCTATTATATTCACATTTATTTGTGAAATTCGAGTGATAAACCGGCGTTTTAAAATTTTATCACAATAGCCAACATGGCGAGCACCGTGACGTCACATTTTTATGTCATCGCGAGCGCCGGCGACCAATGACTGCAAAAGATTCACACAATGCCAAACATGGCTGCAAGGTCACAGTTGATTTTAAATCATTTGCACATTAATTTTATCAACGTAAAAATTGAGCGCGACAAACGAGATGAAAAGACATTTTTTGTTTCATGGTTTTCGCGGTGATGATTAAACGACAAAGATAGCTATACATATACGTAATTTTATATCGTTGTCCTTGTTCTGCAAAATGTATAACAATAGTTCATTGCCAAAAAAGCAAATTTAGATTTCTCTCTCAAATTTAGATCATCTGAATTAAATATTGTCACGGGGAGTCTATCACACATATTCTGCCATTCGTAAATATTACAGAAACATACAGAGAGCGGACGCGGGACCCGACCTGCGCCCGTCTAGCGCCCGCACGGTGTATTGTCCTTATAAATACACGGAATTACACCGGCTGTGCTTCCGACCCGACACGCGCCCGACCTGCACCCGCTGTCAGTGTGTT